ATGCCGACAATTGCTGAGCTCATTGGCCGACACAGCACAAGATACGCGGACAGAATATCCGCCCACCCAAACCAGCTTGCAGCCAATTTAGCCACCAACACTATCAACAGAAGGCTGAAAAGATCGCATCCCCTAGACCTGAGAAGTGACCTAAACTAAATTAAATTAAAGTAACTTTTTAGCAATAAAGGCATTTAGCCACTCCATTAGTTAAGGTACCCTTACAAATGCGCCATAGAGTTTACGACAAAAGCTGCAATAAAACTATATTAAAAAAAAAAAAAAAAAAAAAAAAAAACAGTTGTAAAAGCGCCTTGAGTCATACGATACGTTTTACCCACATTAAATTCGATCAAAAGTTTGGCACTTGAATTCGATTTGCCAGACAGACAGAAGCTGAGATTGTGAAAGTTAACATTGTAAAAATGTCGCCAATTCCAATGCTCCATCTCTTTGTACTCGCTCTGCATATTTTCGCTTACTGATTGAATAAAATTATTATTAAATTTAAGACATAAATTCTATATTGGCGAATGCCTACATCGGAGCTTGAAGTTTTCATATTTTAGGGAATTTGTAGATCAAAGGAAGAAGCATTCGCTTGCTTGCTTGAAATATATTTATTATAATTTCATTCAGAGCAGCTCCTAAAACAAATCCCTGTCACATGCGCACATTAGCACCTACCTATGCAGACCCCAAACGACATTTTAACAACTCACTTAGCGAGCACATTAAGAACTAAAACTTGCTGCTGCAACAGCAATGCCAACGCCCCCCAGCAGCAGCAGCAACAGCAGCAGCTGAATTGGAGGGTGGCTTACGCAGTTACAAAGGCAATTTAGAGCGAAGGCTATAAACATTTTTGGCAAACCGCAAATGCAACGCCCCCTTAAAGAGCAGACCACAATGGCAACAACAGCAGCAACAGCAGCAAAGGCAACAACAGCAACAGCAGCCGCAGCAGCAGCAGCAATTGTATTTCCGACGTGACCACGTGCTGAGCATAAACAACCTTCAGCCTTGTATTCCCCCTCACGGCATAAGACAATTATTCGCGTATGACGCGCAAGTCGTATAATTTTTATATTTATCATGCGCCCTCAATATTGATATTTGTATTGGCAATTTAGATTTGAAGCATCCATCATCTGCGTAAATCATTTGTTAATATTAATTTTAATTTCAAAATAAAATTATGATTTTAATTTTGTGTATAACTCATAAATATTATTTCTTATTGCTTCCGCATATTATGCGCTAAATTGTAGTTGGCAATGATTGATGGGTAAGCCAAGAGGAAATGTTCAGCCAGGAATTCCGCTCTCCTTCTCTCTCTCTCTCTCTCTCCCTTGCTCTCTTTTCAGCTCGCTGCATGAAGCGCTGGCATGTTTACTTTGGGCCGAGCACACGTAAAGCAAGTCATAAAAATATTTCAGCGAAAGAATGAAAAGTGAGTGAAAAAAATACACACACACACATACACACACACACAACTAACAAAACGTTGTAGGTCATGTGTCATTTTCAGAGCCCTCAGTGTCGCTCGTTGCATGTTGCTTATGTTATTTGTTTCCACTTTGTTGGCAGCCAGCGAAAACTTTAACAAACATTTTGCAACAAACATTTTTGGCGTCGTGGCAGCCAGCGGCTGAAATTGAATATTCAATTTTTGCTTTGTCTCCTTTGGTATTATGTTTTTTTTTTTTTTTTTTTTTTTTTTTGGCAATTTGTGGATGCGACAAGGCGAGCCGAGCCGAGCTGAATGCATGGCAAATTGTTTATGAGTTTTAGCGGCGCTTCGGGAGTTGCGAGATGGAATTTTTAGGCGCAGATAACTTTCATAACAAAATATGCAAATTCTACAAAGCATATTTGAGCACTCCAAAATATATCTCAAAAGCAATGGGAGACTGGGAAAAATGTATATAAGCTACTTATAAGTAGCTTTTAATTATTTAGATAGAGGTATCTAAAGTTTTCTGTGAGATTTGCAGACATTTGAAATTTTATAAATTCTAAATAAATTTATTATATCAAAAATACTCTACTCATTTATTTATTTATTTATTTATTTTATTATTATTTTATTTTTTGACTTAGCAGAACTAAAATTGTAACTTAACAATTGTGTAGTTAAAAGGCTTTCGATTGAAAATAAATAAAATAAATAAATCTAAAATAAATATAACTTAAAAAATAATATAGAAAAAAGCATATTCGAACAAATATAATTAAATATTTTTCCTTAAAAGCCTTTTTGACTGAACAAAACTTAAATGAAATCTAATTGTTGTGGAAGTAAAAACCTTGAAATTGAAAAATAAATAAATAAATGAATATATATATATATAAAAAGTGACAATTTCAATCAATTATAAATCAATAATTCGTGGGAAATTTTATTAGCCCAACAGAACTATAATTAAGCTTAATTACTATGCAACTCAAAAACTAAAAAATGAGAAAAGTATTAAAAGTAATTTAATAAAATATGATTTTCTGCCAAACAACCCCTGAAAGTAAAAAGCTTGAAATCGAACAAGAATAAAATTTAATATATTAGATTTGGAAAACCTTTTTGACTTAAGAAAACAAAAATGAAACTTCATTAATATGCAAGAAAAAGGCTAGACATTATTAAAATAATGTGCTGAAATAATGATTTCAATTAAATATAATTATATACTCTATATTTCTTGGCAAACCTTTTTGACTTAAAACTAAAATGAAATCTAATTAATATGCAAGTGAAAACCATTTAACTGGAAAGTTATTTAAGTACAAAATTTGGCCAGAGACTTAAGCTGAAATTTCTCTAATACCAAAGGGTCGAAACAAGTGGGCTAAAAGCAGCAAAAGGGCGCATTTTTTGTTTACTCAGTTTGCCCTTTCAAGACCCACGACTTAATTAAACTACGCGCTTCATCGTGTTCCCAAAGCTCGCAGCCAATTTAAAATCCCTTTTCTCTTTTTCTGTACGAATTAAATCCACAACAAAATGTCAACACTCAATCATTAAGAAGTCAACATAAAAATTGAAGAGCTACAAAAAATGTGGCCCGGAAATAGGTCAGCCAATGTGTGCATAGGGCAGACAGAATATGCTTCGGCTGGGGTAGACTAACAAAAAGAAAGTACTACTTCTAATTGCCAGGGTATATATCGATATTGGGAATATACAATGGAATCACATCAAATATGCGAGGCTGTTAACGGTCGAAAACACCAATTTTGAAGCTGCTTAGATGCAAATGGATGCGATAAGGAGTCGAGCGGAAACCAAACTATAGCCAAAGCCCAGGCCCAAGCCCAAGCCACAAACATGAGGCAACTGGCAGCAGGCAGCAATTGAAAGGCAGGAAAGAAAAATTATTGCAAAACCCGAGCCAGATTTTATGTTATTTTTATGTCGAACTGTGGAGAAGAGGCAGCAGAGAGGCAAGGAAGTGGGCACACACACACACACACACACAGTTTTATTTATTCATGGGCACGCTGACTTGTACGTCAGAGCCCACCAAGACTCAGCTAGGATAACACAACTGGGCGTACAATTTAATAAAAAATATATATATTTCTATATTTGTGTATATTCCAATAAAATAAGAGAATTTTATATTTGAGTTTTATGTGCGCTCGTAAAGCGTCAGAGGAATTTTAAAAAATATGCAGCAAGTCTTAAAAATATAGTTAAATTGAAAAGTTGATGAGAAAACTTAAACGTAGCTCGTACCTCGTCCAATTGCTGTTTGCTCTGCCTCCGCACAAAAGTATGCAACACTTTTTGAATTTCAAAATATACTGAGAGTCGCGCGCACTTTCGCTTTTTAGCTGCTGAACAGAACCTATCGAACCGAACACCTCGCTTGATTTGTGAAACTGGCCTCGTTTGTTTCACGGGTTTGGTTAAAAAGCGTCTCACGCTCGCTCAGCTCAACATTCGGGCGCCCGAATGTGTGTGGGCAAACGAGTCACTGTTAACTGGCTGCATTGACTTGAAACGCCCTGGAATTGAAACACACGCCTTACTAATGTGTGTGTGAGTGTGTGTGTGTGTGTTTGTGTTTGTGGGGACCAACTAAAAAAAGTAGGTCTACTACGGCAGGCGAAATGAGTGGAAATGGAGCTGGCCTCTCTCACCTTGGCAGGATGAATCCTAACCCGCCGCAATGTGACTCAAATTGTGCGCTCGACTCGAAAGCTTTGAGCAAAGCTTTGATAATATTGGGTACTTTTTATATAAATTTCCCAATATTTTAAAAACATATATGTAGGTATATTTTAAGCTCTAAATACCTGTTATTTAAATTAAGCTGAATAAAATGCCAATATTTACCTGCAAATAAGAAAGTGAAATGAAAATTAGTTCCAAAACTAATGAAAACTGAATACAAAACGAAATCTAAGCTGAAATACACACATTTAAACACATGAACAAAAACAGCTTTGTAAGGAAGAAGGGAAATTCGCAGAGCGTATAACGAGTACGAAATACGAAAAGAGACAGAGAGAGAGAGAAAAAGTTATTACAGCTTAAAAGCTCTGCCGAGCTTTCCGACAGCATTGCCAGTTGTAATTTTATTAACTGCATATAAATTGCTTATTTGAATAAAAACCGTTAGAAAAACATGCCAATTGTGGTATTAAAAAATTCAACTTTTTATTTTAGAATATTAAAATACTGAATACATAAAGAAAACGTGCATACTTAGTTTAGAGAACATGTTAGACTACTTAATTGATAAACACTTGTTAACAGCACTCTTTAACGCTTTACAACACTGACTACATATATTCAAATGGAGCAACAACACAGAAATTACAGTTAGACGTGCTCTCTAGGCCAATTATATTTATATACATATATAGGTTGCTAGGTTGCTTTGTTTGTTTATTGTCATTGTTTTTGTGTGGGATGCAAGCAACTGAAAAATAGCAACGACAGCAACAACAACGACAATAACAACAAATTACCCAGCTATCAAACACACACACACCAGTTGATAGTTTTGTTGTTGTGGTAAATTTGAGTGCTGGCTAAAACGAATTAACATCGAATTTAAAATCGAGATCCAAGTTTTTCAAAGGATTTCGACGGATTTTCTTGCTGCCATGATGATGATGGTGATGTGGTATTAGTATCTCCACCTCCGGCTCTTCATCTGCAGTATTACCGATAGGGATTTTTTATTTTTTTTTTATCAGATTTGGTTATAACAATTTTTAATTGAATTGTTCGTTTCGATTCGGTTTATATTTAAAAAGAAAACACAAAGACAAATACAAAGAGAAAAAGCCATTAAAAACAATATCGTGTTTAAAAATTTCGTTGTTTATATATAAATATATATAAATATATCGATATGGTCTGTGTGAAATGCATGAGCCATGTAACAAGCGTAACGAATACAATATCAAGGTGAACGTTATGAAATTTATGATCAAAATAAATGGAACAAAGTGAAAGTAAAGTCAAAATAGCACACACACACACTTAAGCACACTCACGCACACTCGCACGCTCATTTACACTCACTTAATATGTAATACAGTGCGTATGCGTAATATTCGCGACTCAATTTCCCGTCAACACGCAGCGGCTTATTAGCATTGATTAGAGCCACGCAACTGTGTAACATGTGCGATCCACTCGACCGCCCCCCACGGAGCCCATCAAAGTTCCAAATGCCTAAATAATATCCGCAAGACTTCGCGACATAAAAGCTCTTAATCATATGAAACTCTATAAAGGCAGCCATTCACAAGATATTGGGTACTCCAAAACTGTGGCCTGGCATATACCCTGTAGTTGGATAACAAATACCAAAAGCACATACTTCGAATCATATAGATAATAATAGAAATAATTATGAAATCTCTTGCTCAATCAGTTTTTTTTATCTTTAAAATAATAATACAAAGAAATATTATTCCATTTGCCCACTCATTTGAATATACCCAAGCACCTGCTCAACTACAGGATATTTACTATGTAAAGCCCAAGAAATGATTTTCATAAGCAGCCAAAAAAACTTTGTGAGTGCGACGCGCCACACAAAGAAATAAAAAATAATAATAATATAATGGAACCGAGATAATAAAGCGAAACTACGAAACTCTTGAAGTCAATGCTGAGTGCTGGCCCTCGAAAAGTTATACAATACGCCCAGTTATGGCAGTTGTTCGAGTGCAGTTGGCGGTTGGCAGTTGCTGGAGTCAGTGCTTAAGCCTGGCCAGCATTTGGCTGCCACCTGAGTGCCTGGATATGTTTATGAAACACTCAAAGTTGGCTAACAATGCCCAAAAGTCATAATGCATTGAATGGGATTTAATAATATTTATAGAGAGTTGAACATATATTTATTTATATTTATCTGATTTAATTGAAGTTTACATTGGGAAAATTCCATAATTGAAGAGCAAAATGTTTGTAGCTCACATAAATTTTTAATTTAAAGTTTAAGGACCAGAAACTTAAAAAAAAAAAAAAATATTTTGTGAATCTCTAATATTTTCTTTTAAAATATATATATAAAAATATATATATTAATTTCTTTATAAAATAAATATAATAAATTACTATCAATTAATCAATAATTATAATTGTAATAATAATAATATTAAAAGAAATAAAATTTTATATTAATTCGATTGTCCTTTTTATTGTTTTATTATTACTATTTATTTATTATCATTATTTATTTTCAAACATTTTTTTCAGTATTTATTTGAATAGACTGTGATACAAAAAATAAGCTTTACTACAAATAATAATAATAATAATAATAATAATAATAATAATAATAAATTAAATATTAATACCAATAATAATAACTAATTATAAACTACAACAAGAAAATTATCCCATGGAAATTTTGCTTCCTTTACTATTATTACAATTATTTTTCATTTATTCACTAAATATACTTTCTTCGCATTAAGTCCAAGTTTATATTAAATTTACTCACTCACTGGCCACAAGGCAGGAAATAGCATTCGAAGGCTCTAATTGAATGAAATGCTCGAATGAGATTCAGGCTCATTGCAAATTTATATGACAATGCTCGACTCGCAGCTCAGCTGGTAAAATGTTGAATATCTGTGGCTCATTGGCATGCAGCGCCTGTAAAAAACTTGGCAATTGTGGTAGCCCACTTGGTGCTAAGGCGCACAGAGGCACAGGCAATGCCAAGGTAAGGGCAGACATATACCCAATGAAACAAAGATATATATAGTGAGTGGGAGAGAGACAGAGAGAGAGAGAGAGAGAGAGTGGGAGAGAGCAGGTCATACACATTCATGCGCGAACTAAGCAAAGTCTAGCTAAAGTTAGACGTCTGTCAGACTGTCGGCTGCCTGTCTTTGGGCTTTGCCTGCCTCAACTTGCTTGGCTCGGCGCTCGGCAACAACGAATTGCCGCCTGGCTGGCTAAACTTTTAATCAGCATGAAAAAGTTACGTCCTGCTCGCGCAATTATTGCCAAATTTGAGCGCCAACAAAAACATAATCAAGTTAATTGCATATAGAATGCTATGCAAAGGCTTTCAAGAGCAAAGCAAAACAAAACAAAACAAAAACAAAATGAATAAACGGCGCCAAGTTTATTGTACTGCCGTCTACTATGTATATATAGCCGTGTACACACATACATATATATATATGTATGTATGTATATATATATATCCACTTGTGTGTTGACGCTTTATGCTGCCAACTAATATGGCTTATTGTTGCTGGTGTTACTTGGCTTGTTGTAATACAATCAATTTCCGCTTTTGTTTGTCAAGAAAAGTTGCCAACGAGAAAATGTTGTGTTGTTGCGACTTTATGTTGTTTTTCTTTGCTCGTTTTTTGTTTTGTTTTGTTTTGTTTTTTTTTTTTTTTTTTTTTATTGCCGGTTATATTTTTATGAAGCGGAAGCAACAGCTCAGCTGCCAGTGCTGTTCAAACATGACGTATACGTAATATGCTGCGCCACACCAAAACAATTTATATTGATTGGCTGACATTGGTGCGGATGTTGGATGTTAGGGTATATATGTAAGTACACACTTTTTAATTAAATTTGCTCTCCCCATATAATGCGCAATATCCATTATCATCTCTGTGCTGAGCAATTTTATTGGTCCAAGTGCCTGGGGGCAGCGTTTGAGATATTTGTGTGGCATTGGCTTTGTGCAATTAGCTTTTGTATTATGTGTGCTTGATTAAGGCAAGCAGGGAATGCTTTGCGCAATACAGAAACATAAACACACACACGCACACATACTCATGCACATTCATATTCAAGTAGGTCGACATAAATTTGATAGCACTCAAGACTTTGTCTTTGTTTTTGTTTGCTGCGTGTTCCCTGCCGTAGAAAAAAGAAAAGTTCGTCGGAATAAATTATGCATTTATCATTATTAGGACAGAGAGAGAGAGAGAGAGAGAGAGAGAGAGAGAGAGAGAGAGAGAGAGAGAGAGAGAGAAAGAAGCGCCCTATTTATATCACTTTATTTTTAGCATCTGGCTGATATGAAAGGCCAAGTAAAAACTCAAACGTTTCTCCTTTTTTTTTTAGAAATCTACAAAGAGTTTTGGGTCAATTAAAGGGATTTCCACTTGATGATTAACTCCTTTGAGAATTTATTTATTCAGCTCTTGTGACGCAAAACAAATCTCTCACAAAAGTTTTCTTTCAGCCCAGTGACTTGACAAGAAACAAGATAAGAGAGTGAAAAAGAAATTTAAATTTTATTGCCAACGTTTTGCTGCAGTTGTTAAAGCATTTACGATATAGATATGCCGGAAATTCATAAGCCATTAAGCAGCCGAAGAGAGACAGCGTGGGTAAATAATCACAGGCAATTATTATGGCTTAGGAAAATGCTAAGGATATGGCTGACATCGACGTGCAAGGACATTACTGATGTTTATTAATACATGCGCATATATTTGCGGCAAGTGACAAATGCTCAAAATGCCAGACAAACTCGGCTGAAAAAAAGAAGAAGAAGAGGAAGTAAAAAGAAAAAATTCTTCGACTCGGCTGATTGACATCATAAATAATATTGGGCATATCACAAGGCTTCATAATAAATTCATAAGCAGCAGACGACAAATAGCAGACATTTTTATCGATGTCGAAGTTTTGTTTTTCAATTTCTGATATAGTAGGAAGAGCAGCCAGTAAAGCAAAGTTAAATTTAGAAGCGCAAAAGATGTGGAAAAGATGAAGAAATGTTTGTGAAAAATGTGGGTTAACCCTGGCTCTCTAAATTAATTCAGCTGCAGAACTTTCGGTATTGGAAATGCCTAACAAGCTTGCTCAGTTGTCTGTATAATTGCTGTAGGTTATTTGCTTGGCTAGGCATAACTTGCTTGTGTTGTGCGGTCTCTCATTGAAATGTGTTAATGGGAGGTCAGACAGATGTTGTAGGGGTTAGTTGTTGTTTGAGAAAGTTGAAATAAATTCCAGCAGCTAAAAACGATGCTGACCCAAAACTGCCAAGCTATAAAAACTGAATGGATATATGTGAAATATATTATTATTTTTCAGTTTCATAAAAATAAAACATATAAAAAGCATTTTTTATAGATACATGCTCGAGTATTAATGAATAGTTTGTTGGCTATATTACTTAATACTAAGACGCGGTAATTAGAGTTGACTGCTAAAGCTAAATAGTATTAACATTATTTTCCTACTTATTTAATTTATATATTTATTTTGATTTTACATTTTTAATGAATTTGTTTATTCATTTATATTATTAATAATTAATTACATTTTATTATTATTATTATTATTGAAAAAGAATCATATATTTATTTTTAACTTATTTATTAAATTATTATTTTTAATCTTTTTATAAATTTTTTATTATTATCATTATTTTTTACAGTGTAACAGTGTAACAAAAAGCAAAAAATTATAATAGTAATAATTAAATAGAAAAAATATACTGTAAGTGTAACAGCAGTTAAGCTGTCTACGTGGATATTTTATTTTTCTCTTTGAGCTTAAAGCACAAGCTGACAAATGAATGTGAAGTTATTTACTTGGCCAAATGAGTTTAGCCATAAAGTTTGAAGACAGTCAGGAATGCTAGTAATTAAATTTAATTAAAAATCAATATTTATATTTCTCAACAGATAAGATGAGG